ACGTCCTCTCCAGCTCCAAGAAATGAGCTCCCCACTACCCCCCGGTTCCTCTCCTTCCCAGGACCCCTGGAATTCACTGAAGTGGCTTCTCCACACTTGCCCTCCTCCCTGCCCCAGGCTGTGGGGGCTTGAGGGTCGCTGCCCTCCCCAGCCCTTGCCTGCAGATCTGCAGGAGCTGCCTCCTCCCAGTCTCTCCTGCCCTCCAATCCCACTCCTAGGGCCCCTTAGACTTTGCCCCGTGAGGAACGTGGCTGTTGCAAGCGTGTCCTGCCCTAGAGCTGGGCAGAAAAGCCAAAATACTGGGGTTTGCATTGAATGTGCTCCCAGGTCTCATCCCAAGTCTTGCCTTTAGCTCTGGTGGGTGTTGCTGCATCCGGGTAGGGAGTGGTTGAAGTGCCCCTCACCAGAGGGGATCCCAGCTCTGAGGAAGCCTGACCTCCTCCCACTTTTCAGAGTGTAACATCCCAGTCCTTGGACACCTTGTGTGTCCCATGCTGGGGCCAGAGCTGTTCCTGTGAACCTGGGTGTTTGATCTGCAGAGGATGGCACATCCCCTCTCCAGTACCTGACTGATTTCACTTCCATTTCCTGATATTCCTGCAATTTCGGTGGCAGATTCTTTATCTTAGGGACTGTACTTGGTGCTAGATTGGAGGATGGGTAGGAGATGGGCAGCTGGGGCTTTTCCCCAGGGAGATCCCCTTGCACCCCTCCTGTGTCAGAATCCCCTGTCCCTGGGGCTGGGTCCCTTTCCATCCCAGTCCTTGGGGACAGGGCAGGGTGGCTGCAGCTGTGGGTGAGTGTGTGCACTGTGGGGACACAGTTCAGGACAGCTGAACCGCCCCAGTTCTTGCTGGGGTGGGCAGAGCTGCCTGTGCCCTCACCTCCCCCCTGCTTCCCTCCCTCCCCAGCCCAGCACAGAAACTCGTCTTCAACAGAGTGAATGGCAAGAGGCCCCCACTGCTGCTGCAGCAGATCTCAGGCCCTGAGGAATGTTACACGCTGGCCCACGAGGAGAACGTCCGCTTTGTCTATGAAGGTGAGGGCAGAGGGTCCCTGGGGCAGCAGCCAGGGGAGCTGGAGCACATGGAGCCCCTCCCCAGCACCTGCCCCGTGCTGGGGACAGGCACGGAGTCCCCAGCCTGGGCACTGCCCTCCTTTGCTCCGCCTCCCGCTCCTGTCCCGCAGCCCCCTGCCCTGGGAGCTGGTCCCAAACCCACCCGGCTTCGTTCCCTCCCCAGCCTGGCAGCAGGTAGAGCAGCAGCTGGACAGCAGCCGGAGCGGGGACAGCGCCTGCGGCCCCGTGCAGTACGTGGAGAAAACCCCCAACCCCGGACTCAAAAGTGAGTGGCAGTGGTTGTGCCCTTTGGGGTGCGTCAGGCTCGGGGTGCAGGGAGGGGCTGTGGGCTCAGCCTGCCCCTGAACGGGGCTGTAGGGGAAGGAGGAGGAGGATCCCAGTGCTGGGTGTGCCAGAGGGGCTGGATGGGTCTGTCCTGCTGGTGCTGAGGTCACTCTGGGGGTGCTGGGGATGTCCCACTGCATCCCTTGCGTGTTCCACTGTGTTGCTGACTTCTCTGGGATTCAGGCCCTCTCCTGCCACCAAGGGGTTCAGCATCATGCTGGAGAGAGAGGAGGTGCCTGTGGGAACCTGCTTCTCCTGGGGCTAGCAGGGCCAATTGGGCTTGGGGACAACACTTGTCTGGTGGCACCTGGAGTCAGCAGCCTTTGGGCTCTCACAGCAGCTGAGAGCTCCCCAAGGAAGAGAATGTCCCTGTTGATCCAGTCTGGCCTTTTGGGGACGTGGCACAGGGGTGGAGGAGACCTGGGGGTGTCATTAGTTTGGAGATCAGGAAAGGTTCTTCCCCCAGAGGGTGCTGGCACTGCCCAGGCTCCCCAGGGAATGGGCACAGCCCCGGGGCTGCCAGAGCTCCAGGAGTTTGGACAGGGATGCCCAGGGTGGGATTGTTGGGGTGTCTGTGCAGGGCCAGGAGCTGGGCTGGGTGATCCCTGTGGGTCCCTTCCAGCTGAGGATATTCTGTGATTCCATGGTTATTTTTTCTGGGGTTTGGAGTCAGCACCCAGAGCTCTGCTCCTGCTCCAGCTGTTCCCCTCTCTCCCTCCCCTCTTTCTCAGACTTCGTTCCCATCGACCTGGAGGATTGGTGGGCACAGCAATTTCTGGCCAAAATCGAGAACAGCTCATAAAAGGGAAGAAAAGGTTGCCTTTGGTCTCTTTATAAGAGAAACGAAGCTGCGAGCACCTGGTGACAGCCCAGCATCAGAGGCGTTTTTGAAGCGTTTTTGAGACGCCCGAGGTGGAGCGAGCCAGCCCCGAGCACCGGACCACAGCCATGCCCGGCCCCGCGCCCTCCCCGTGCCCGGCACAGGAGCAGCGCGCAGCCCCAGCCAGGATTCCTTAAGTGCCAGTTCTCGGCCTGCTGCGACTCCTGCAGCCTCCAGCTCCAGGGACACTGCGGTGCCACGCTGGGGACAGGGAGCGGCTCCCCCTGCGGCCGCGGGAGGCCAGGGGGTGCTGCAGCAGCACCGCAGACAATAAAGCGCTGAAACTGCCCGTGGAGCCGCGCCTGTGCCGTGGGGAGCAGGGGGAGCAGGGGCTGCAGCATCATAGCCCCTGGAGAGGGGATGCTCCCAGCTGACCCGTGGCTCCTCTGGATCCAAGGGCTTGGAGCTCCCCTTCCTCGCAGCTGCATCCTTGCTCCGATGCTGCCCCATCTCCCGGGGCTCAGCCAGGGGCTGGTGCTGTTGGGGACTGGGGGGCATATGGGAATCTGCAAGGGGGGCTGAGCACCCTGGCTGTGCTCCAGAGCTGCGCTGCAGCATGTCGGTGGGCAAAGCTGCAGGAATGGCAGTGCCAGGGCCAGCTGCCCACTGCCATGGAGGCCAAAAGGCTTCAGGTCTCTCCCTCACTGTGGCTGTTTGGGAGAGCTGAGAGGGGATAGTTGTGGCTACCTGAAGTAAAGAGAATGGGGACCCCAACTTGTGCTTCTACAAAAAACTCAGCTGATGGGCTTTTCAAGCCAGACTGAGCTCTTCTCCTTCTGGTTTGTAGGACACCCCTCTACCCCCATGCCCTTCTCCCCAGGCAGAGAGCAGGAGGCCAGCACAGGCTGAACAGAGTCTGAATCGAAAGGAGGCCAGGAAACACCCACTGGAAAAAAAAAATCATCTTTATTATTCCTATGAGGGGAACAACCACCACAGTGCAGCCAGGGGGGAGTAGAAGCTGGCCAGGAGCTGTGTTGCTTCTCCCACCTGGGAGGCCAGAGCAGTGCCAGCAGCAGCTGTGCCCCTGGCACCTGCCCATGGAGCACTCCTGGTCCTGCTCCCAGCCCCAGGCTGGCACACCTGGCACTGTGGCTGTGACTGAAATCAGGAGCAGCACCACGCACAGCCCACAGTGCCCGCCTCGCTGCCAGGCAGGGTGTTCCAGCCCTGGGACAGGGCAATGCTGCTTCCATAACACCTCCTTCATTCAGGCCAGGGTGGCCCCAGTGTGATGGAGGGCTGGGGCCAGGGGAGGTCAGCCCTGCCGTGGGCTCTCCCCCAGCTCTGCCATGGCAGCATGGGCAGGGAGGGGGTGAAGCTGCCTCTGTGTCCCCACCCAGCACCAAGCCTTGCAGGGGCACCAGAGCCAGCATGAACAGTTACTGCTGTGCTCAGGGCACTGCCAGCCCACCCTCCCAGCTAAAACCATCCCCCCCCCCTTTTTCTTCCCTCCCTGGGACAGTCCCTGCAGCTGGGATTCCCCCTGCATGGTGCCCTGGCAGTGGCTGGCTCTGCTGCCCACCAGGATGCTCCCAGGGTGCAATCCCTCCCTACCAGCAACTCCACAGGACTCCAAGGTGTCAGAGCAGGCCATTCACCTGCTGGCTGCTGACTAATAAAAGCACACATCTTTAAGATCCAGGGAAATTCTTAGTAACATGATGCACCATTGTTCTGAACAACAACATTAGGCAAAGGAAAGGAATGGAACAGGAATAAATGAGTCAGTCACAAGGAAAAAAATGAAAACCCAACCCAAAAATATAACCCAACCCCTGACAATGCAATCACTGGGAGGGAATCAGCCCCCCCTTGCCATAAATATTAATTATGTGCAATTGTGTGTAGTACTATAGTGCAAATAGCTCTGCATTGATCATGGGGCAGCTCCCAAGGGGCTGCCCCAGGTGACACAGGGACTAGTTAAGGACAGACAAGAATCAACACAGATTTCCAACAAACAAACAAAAAAAACCCCAACCCAGTCACTGGGAAACTCCAAAAAGGAGCTGCCTCCTCCAACTGGGCCCAGGCAAGGCTGGGCAATGCTGGTGCCCAGCAGCATCCTGGAGCCAGGCAGGGGCAGGACAGGGCCTTTGCTCCTGCCTGCTGCTGGCACAGCCTGGTCAGGGGCAGAGGGGATGAGGAGGCAGATGCAGGACAGATGTGGTCAGGTTGAAGCTGTGTGGGGTGTAAAGAGGTGAGCTCAGCAGGACATGGGCACAGCGAGGGCATCGCTGGCTTCACGCTGGTCCTGTGGCTGCCCTGCACAGTGTGGGGCCGTGCTGCTGGCAGAGCCCCTGCATGGGCACAGCACTGAGGCCAGCAGCATCCCTGGGCACCCTGTGACACTTCATACCCATCCCACAGAGCACAGCCAAGACCCTGCAGCACCTCTCCCTCAACCCACAGCGTCCCCAGGGACCTGGTGGCACCTCTCACCCGTCCCTGCAGTGTCCCTGGGCACCCCTCACTGCCCCAGCTCTGGCTCCCAGCCGTGCCCATCACGTGCTGTTCTGAGGCCGAGCTCTGGGCACTGCTCCATGGCTACCTCTCACCCAGAGCCAGCTCCTGGCACCACAGCTCCCCCTGCACAGCTGGGGCCAGAGCCAGCTCCTCGAGCCACGCTTGGCAAGCTTTCCCTGGCGCTTAAAGGAGACAGAGCCTCCTCTTGCCATGCCTGGCAGGTGCCAGACAGCACAAAGTGCTCCAGGGGCGATCCCAGCACATCCTGCTGCCCCAAGGACGGTTTGGATCTGAGCTATGTGACAGGCTCCTGCTAAACCACGAGCAACCACCAAACAACACAGGGACATGCGGGTGAGGAGCGCGGGCGCGTCCCGCTGGGTGTGAGCGAGGGCAGGGAGGAGGGAGCACAGGGGATCCTCCTCCCCCATCCCAAGTCCAACGCCCCTCTCCACCCATCCAGGCTCTCCCGGGGTTTTGGGTGGAGTTTTTTTGCTGTATGGATGAAGAAGGCTGGAGAGTGGCAGTGTCACATGCGCACACACACGCACACCCACGCACCCCGGAGCCTGGCAGCCAGGAGCTGCCATCCCCTCACCCTCGCTGGGAAGGTTTACATTGATACAGTATTTAAGACACGCCGATATATAAATTACTGTCTCTATATATACTATGTATAGGCTGAGGGCCAGTCCGTGCCGGGGCACCAGGGGCTCATTTCCCTCTGTCCTCTGTGTAGTGCTGGAAGCGAGTGAAGCTCATGAAGACCTGCTCCAGGGAGATCTGGCTCACCGAGTAGTCCTCCAAGCGATATTTCTCTTTGGCTTTCTCCAGGGCCCCAAAGACCTGCAAGGGAGGGCAGGGACAGGAGGCAGCGTGAGGTGTGGGGGGACTCCTGGGACAGGAACTCCCACTGTGACAGGGAGCACCCACTGTGACAGGGAACCTCCCAGCTGTGGCAGGGAAAGCAGAGAAAGCTTTGTTCTCCAGGGAGACGCAGGAAAATGACACCTTCCCTGGCAGGAGAGTCGGGGGAAGCCAGGAGTATCTGACACCATTTTAAAACATATGCTGTGGATATGATTGTTTTACACAATTATATGTGATAAATGCATACATATATACAAATACATACATATAGATACATGTATATATGTATTTATATATATACACACACATATCTGGGTTTGAATCCCTGCCCAAGGCTTCTGCTAACACATTATATATATAAAATATTTACATAATATAGAAATAACATTTAGTATAATATATACACTATACATAACTATCTGTATCTAGCATACACATCATTTTTATATTGAGCTACATATGATATACATATTGATAAACTCACTCTCTAGTTTTTATATAATCCCATACATAGTTTTAATATAATCTGTATACTATTTACTCTCTCTATATATACTCTATAGACTATACCACATACTTGATATAGAGTATATAGAGTATATAATCTTAGAGAGTATTACCTATACCACATACCCTATTGAGTATATATTATATATTGTATAAATACAATATAAAGTATATGATATACACTACATCCAGTGCATGTAATATACAGATAAATATATATATACACACTTAGATACTGCATATGAAAACTATCTATATACTATGAATATCTCTGTATGTATTCACATATAGATAATGTACATGTAGACAGTATATACAGAGAGCTATACTAGGTATGCTCTATACCTAACTCTGTATGCAGAGGGTTACATACTGTATCTGTACTGTGGGGTTTTATCGGTGTCCCTGGGCTAGGACCCCTCAGGATCGGTGGCTGGGGAGAGCCACTGCCCACAGCCCCAGTGGGACCACACTGAAGCACTGCCAGGGGGTTCCTGGGGCTGAGGGGCAGGAGCAGGGAGCTGTCAGCACGGGGAAGTTGTGCCCACCCATGCCAGGTTTCCACAGTGCAAAGCAGTGTGGGGAGGATGCACCACCGAAAGCAAAGCACCAAGAACATGGGAAGGGGCAGGAGAAAGGTTCCCAGTGCCCCCTTACCTGTGCCCAGCTGAGGTTCTTGTTGGTCAAGTGGTAATGCACCATGCCCTGGTGCTCATGCTTCAGGACACTGCCTGGGGAATGGAGCAGGGAGAGGCTCTGTGTTAGGGAAGGTGCTGCAGTTCACAGCCAGCACCTGCCCCTGCTCCAGGAGCAACCACTCCAGCAGCTCACGGTACCTGGGAAAGTCTTCTCCACGAAGGCCTTGAAGGCCTGCAGCTCACCCTCCTCCTCGCTCCGGGTTTTGGCCAGCAAGGTGTATCCACTACCAAACTTGCTTTTGAGGTGCTGGGGGCTGCCCAGGCACTTGAACTGCCCATTCACCATGATGGCCAGTCGTGTGCACAGTGCCTCGCACTCCTCCATGCTGCAGGAAGGAGAGGACTCGTTCAGAGAATCCCAGGGGGGTTTGGGCTAGAAGGAACCTTAAAGCTCATCTTGTTCCACCCCCTGCCATGGACAGGGACACTTTCCACTAGAACAGGCTGCTCCAAGCTCAGTCCAGCATGCCCCCAGAGATGGAGCAGCCACAGCTTCTCCGGGCAGGTAAACACCAGACACAAGCAGAAGCTTCTGGGAAGCGGCTGGAGGTTTTGAGGAGGGACTGAAGCTCTGGACTCTTTGAGGAGGGAGATTTGGGTCGAGCCAGCCACTGGCTGCAGGCAGTGTATGCCCACTCACCAGGCCCCGGAGGTGTGTCCCATCCCTCGGATCCCACCACTCTCCCTGATCTCTTATGCCTAGCCCTGCCAAGCCAGGTGTCACCTGTGGGAGGTGAAGATGATGGATTTGCCACACTCCCGCGTCCGTGTCACTGCGTCCCAGAGCAAGCGCCGGGCCACGGGGTCCATGCCAGTGGAGGGCTCGTCCAGGAAGATCACAGGGGGGCCACCAATGAGGGCAATGCCAGCACTCAGCTTCCGCTTGTTCCCACCGCTGCAGAGGAATCACAGAACCATTAGGGTTGGAAATGACCAGAGAGATCACCAAGTTCAAACTTCAGCTGAAAACGGGAGCGAGGAACGGGGACAGAGCCCCAGTATGAGCACAGGAGCAGCACACCAGGGGAGGGACAGCGGTTTGGCCAGGCCTGCTCTCACCTGTAGGTCCTGACGAGCTTGTCGGCGTGCGGCTCCAGGAGCAGCCCCCGCAGCATGTTCTCCACGCAGCTGCCGATGTAGCGCTCGGGGATGCCGCGCAGGCGCGCGTACATGCTCAGCGTCTCGCGGCCCGTCATGTGCTCCAGCAGGGCGTCAAACTGCGGGCAGTACCCGATCCTCTGCTGCACCTGTGCCCAGGGGAGCACACAGCAATCAGCACACGGGCAGGGCTCCGAGCCAGGGCTGCCTGGGCACCCACGGGCCCTGCTGCTCCTCCCTGAGTGATGGAACTGAGCCGCAGCTCTGAAACCGTGGGGGGAATGAGAGGGGAATGCCCCCTGGAGCAGCTGGGCTGGCAGGGATGGACAGATGTGTCTCTGGACAGCAGCTGGTGGGCTCACAATGTCTCTGCCAAGCTGGTTCCTCACTGTGAGGGACCATTTTGGGGTGCCCAGGCTCTCAGAAGAAGGAAAGTGCTGGAGGGCTGGTACCTCCCCCATGTCCTGCTCACTTGCAGGGACAAGAGCATGAGAGAAGGCAGTTTCAGGGAAGGAGGCAATTTGGGGGCATGCTCTCAAGGAATGTTCTTCATGTCTGACCTTGTCTGGGATCCTGATTCACCTAAGACTTGGACTTGATGGTCCTTGTGGGTCCCTTCCAAATCAGAATATTCTGTGAAATCTGGGACAGTGGAAGAGGAAGGACTGGACTCAAAGCCTAACCCCTGCTCATCTCTTCCAAAAGAAGTGGGCAATTCCCAGCAAGGACACCCCTAGCAGAAGTCTGGAAAGGTTTGATACACTCATTTTAGAGACCATCCTCCAATATTTTCCACATTTCCAGCTATGGAGGTAAAACCCTTTGATGAAAGGTTTGCTACCCACAGCAGGTTTGGTCTCCATTTGTATCACATCTGTAATCCCAGTGGAGAGGAAACTGCTTCCTCATGGCCAGATAATGGAGAGCTGAGCCAGCCAAGGACACGATGTCCCTGGGATATTTATTGTCCCTGCCTCTGGAACTGCAACCACGTCCTCTTGGAGGCAACTGCAAGGTGGCTCAGCCCAGGCAAACACAGGATGGTCTGCAACACCACCCTCAGCCCTGCAGCCTTGGGTACCTTCTTGATGTTGGCCAGAATGCTGTGGCCATCCACAAAGGCGTCCCCCGATGTGATGCTCTCGTCACCCGTCAGCATCTTGAAGGTGGTGGTTTTGCCCGCTCCGTTGAAGCCAAGGAGACCAAAGCACTCCCCTTTGCTGACAGCCAAGGAGATCCTGTCCACTGCCAGCAGGGACTCCCGGCTGTCATAGACCTGGAGGAGCCACACACATGCCACATGTCACTGCCCGATGGCACGGCAAGGCCCGAGAGGACACGGCTCAGATGGCAGCAGGATGCTCAGGTCACCTTGCCTCACCTTGGTCAGCTCCTTGATGACCAGAGGGCTGCTGAGAGACGACAGCAGTTCTGGTGGTGACTCCAAAACCTTCTTCCTCTCATCTGCCACATCCCTGTCCTCTGGCAGCACAGACACCCTGTTCAGCAGGGCCACCTGAACACAGGGGGAAGACACACTCTGTGTCACCTGGCTGCTGGGGGATGAATGGGTTCCTCCAGTGTCCCCAACCCTGGGAGGATCCATCCCTCTGGAGATGCCTCACTCCCTTTGCCAATCCATACACTCAACAGGACTGGCTCCTCCCAGCTCCAGGGATGCTCCCTGGGAATATGATGCAGGTGATGAGGGCCTGTCTCCAGCTCACAGGGACTCCTGGGCTGGGCTTGGAGGGCACAGCTCCCTCCCACGTGCTTCACTCACCCATTTCCGCCGCCTGCAGATGCCACAGACCAGAGTTCTCAGTCTCCAGAGAAGGTTTGTCTCAATGAGGAAGAGGAGGAAGAGGAAGGAGAAACCCTGGATGGCCAAGGAGGTCAGGTACCGCCCAATCCCAGGGGTCTCCCAGGAAAAGTAGTTCATCTGATAACTGATATCTGAGGAAAGATGGAACAAAATCAACGCCAGGATCAATCCACACTTTGGGGAGGGGCAGATAAACTCCAGAGGAAGCTATGAGCCCAAAGCTTTGCCAGGCTTATCTTCATCCCACACTGGCTCCCTGCCCACAGCTCTTCCCAATGCTTCCCACAGGAGGATCTGGGTCTGGAAGGGATCTGGCAGAAGATGCCCACTGGAGGCAGGCAGAGGACACCAATCTTGAGATTGGGATTTCTTCACTCATCTCTGAAACTTCCCCTAGCACACATTTTTCCTCCAAATCATGAGTAAGGTGATCCATTTAAGGAATTTTTTCCTATATATGTCCTAATATGCTGCCCAGTTTTTGCTCTAAAATGGTACCTGCAGCTACTGCCCAGGCAGAGGCCCCATGACACTGCCCAGTTCCACCATCCACCCACACAACCCCGCAGTGATGCTGTGGGGGCTGGCCAGGTGAGGATGTAGAGACTCACTGAAGGCCTTGCAGATGAAGATGGCTTCAACAGAGGAGGTGCAGAACTGAATGAACTCGTAGTTCTGGTAGAAGTCACTGATGCACTGGCCCAAGCAGTAATTGGGTAAGATGAGAAAAACTTTATCCAGGGTTTTGGAGAGGTCCACCAAGCCCAGTTCTGAAAGAGAACAGGTGGATCAATGAATTAGAGACTGCTGGTTTGGGAGAAAAAACCCTGATATCTGGAAAACCCTGAAGTTTAGAGAGAAACCAAACATATTTTGTCACATTTAATGAGTGACAATGGACTGTTGTAGTGTTTTATGGCTACTGTGGGACCAGCCCTGGGGTCAGAGAGCCCTTTTGGGGGCTGGACCTTGTTGGTGATGGCTGGGCAGGTAGAGGGCAGTGACCCACCTGGGATGCTCATGATGGTGACGGCGAGGAAGGTGGCGGTGCCGGAGAGGATGTTGAAGATGGTCAGACGGGTGTAGGCCGTGGCTGCCACCGAGAAGAGGAAGCTGAGGAGGTACATGAGGGGGATGATGGCCCAGCCATAAAGGAGGAAGATCAGCATCACGTCAACGAGGTGGCTGTCTTGGGTGAAGGCTTGCACGTTGAAGGCTTGGAATATCACCTGGGGCACAGCAATGTGGGGAGAAGGCACATTTGGCTTGACCTCAGGCGATATCTCCTTGTCCCAGTGGCCCAGGGTAACATCAGCACTCCACTGACCCAGACAGCACCTCATGGATGGGTCCTACCAGTAGCCCATGGCTGTCCCCAGGGGAGGCCCTTTCTGCAGACTGGGATGCAGAAGAGATCTGGGGAATTCCTCTCCAACATCTCATGGATTTAAAATTTTCTAGTCCCAACAGCAAAGAGGGAGGACAGAGGACACTGCCAGAGGACACTGCCCCAGCTGGTTGGCCGTGGTCCAGCTCCCAGCAGGACCAAGGGACAGCTTTCTAGTGGGTCCTTTCTACAGAGACATTGCCAGTGGCCCTGTCCTTCTCCCTGCACCCACGCACATCCCAGAGGAGCAGAGCCCAGCATCCCACCAACGGGGATTGGGCTGCCACAGGTGACTCACCAACATCAGAGCACAAGGGATGAGGAAGTTGATGATGTCCCAGAGCAGGGCAGAAAGCCAGAAGTTGACCACGTACACACCACTGACGAACTGGACGTGCTTGGCCTTGATGGCGCGTTCGCTGACCAGCAGCAGCGCGAAGGTGCTGGCGAGAGAGGCCATCCCATACAGCAGGTTGATAGCAATGGCAAAGCCAGTCTGGCCTCTGTGGGGACAGGGGGACACGTTAGGGCAGGGACACCTCAGCCAACCAATGCTGAGGCTACACAAGGACAGCAAAGAAACATAGAATAGTCTCAGGACCCACAGGGATCATCCAGCCCAGCTCCTGGTCCTGCACAGACACCCCAACAATCCCATCCTGTGCGCCCCTGAAAGTGTTGTCCAAATGCTCCTGGAGCTCTGGCAGCCTTGAGACCAGGACCATTCCCTGGGGAGCTTGGGCAGTGCCCCAACATCCTCTGGGGGAAGAACCTTTTCTTGATTTCCAGTCTAAATCTCTCCTGACACAGCTTCAGCCGTTCCTTTGGGTCCTGTCTCTGGTCACAGAGAGCAGAGATCAGCACCTGCCCCTCTGCTGCCACTCTTGAGAAAGTTGTGGCCAGCACACCCACACTGGGCTCCTTGAAGAGGCTACACTTGGCCAACATGCTGAAGAAACACTCAAGGGAGTCAATCACCCCCCAGGCACAGCCCACCCTGCACACCACAAACCTCCATGCTGCCTTGGTGAGGTCCCAGACATGGCCCCTCTGGTCTAGGTGTGGTTCAGAGGCCCTGGATGCGGGGTTTTGTGAAGAGCATGGCCACATGGCCTCCACTACTATGAGCACCCAGGAAAAATAACCCCAGCCAGTATCTCGAGGGGAACAGCCAACTCTGAGATGTGCATGGGGTGATGTGGCTGCCTGGCTCAGCAGAGAAGTCATCTCCACAGCTTTGCCCCCCTGACTTCCTGAGTGCAATCACAGCTACATTTGGGTCTGAGAAGCTCCAGCCTGGCTTCTTCACTGACTCCAGCACAACCAGGCCAACCTGCACCCATGGGAGCCCTAGCAGGAAAGCGAGCCCTGTGCCATCACCACACGTACTCCATGAGCTGGTCCTTGGCCTTCTCGGTGATGTTGCGGGGCTGGGGGTAGTTGGTGACGGTGATGGAGGCGTTGGGGCCTGCCAGCACCCTGAGGATGGCGCTGTCAGCCAGCATGAGGGCGGTGGCCGGGGAGTGGTAGGCCTGGTTGTTGAAGAGCGCCGTGACCAGCGTGCGGTTCCCCGCGGCCTCGAAAGAGGCGGCTGCAATGTAGTGCTCGTTGAAGGCTCCTCCTTCCTCGGAGGCTCTGGAGATGAGGTACTCCTCCAGCCCACCTGCCAAACACCACCGCTGTTACAGGCGGGTCCATCACACCACTGCTAACTGAGGCCAACTGGAAAAAACCCCAAGCAGACTCAGCCCTGGTGGCCCACCCTAGTCCTCATCACAGAAACACAGATCCACATAATCTCCTGAGTTGGAAAGGACCCACAAGGATCATCAAGTCCAACTTCTGGCCCTGCATGGAACATCCCAACAATGCCACCATGTGCCTGAGAGTGTTATCCAAAGCTCTTTGAGCTCTGGGAGCACTGGGGCCATGACCATTCCCCAGGTTGCCTGTTCCAGTGGCCACAAACATGGGGTTGTGGAGAAGACAGCTCTGCCCAGATGAGGAGAGGTCCTGCCAGTGACGCGACACTCCCACGCAGGAAAGAAAAGCATCAGATACGGCACAGCTGGGACCTAAACCACCACACCAGTGGCCCCTGGACACCCCACCAGGCACCACCTGCTCCAGGGGCGCTCCCTGAGCCCTCACCCAGCACCTCCAGCGGCGACTGATGCTGGGCATCCAGCAGCTCCGTGTACTGCTCCGCCAGCCTCTGCGGCAGCCCCGCGGCACCCGACACCGAGAAAGGCACGATGGTCTGGCCGTAGGGCTCCAGCGTCAACCGCAGCTGGGACGAGTCCCGCGGGCCCGGGAAGGTCTTGGCCACGATGAGGGCAAAGGCAGTGAAGATCAGAGGCACGAGGAACTGCGCCGCCACCATCTTCCAGTTGCGCCAGCTGTACATGGCCCGCTTCATGAACATGGCGTAGAACTGCTGGCAGCACAGGTAGAACTGCAGGGGGAGAGGCCGGGTCACGCTCAGCCCTGCCAGCTGGGGGCACGTCACCCCATGCAGCTGATGTGGAAGTGACCCCAAACCACCGCCATCCTTCATGCACCTGCCAGCCTGCTCTCCAGCTAAGCCTATAAAGGGATTAGCAGGGCAGCTGCCCAGCTCCAGCTCATCCAGCTTCATGGCTTCTGAACGAGTCACAGTCACTTTGAAATCTCAGGTGTTAAAAGCAGCTTTAGCCATGACCTTTACCTTCCTCCACCTCCCAGCAGCTGAGGCTCCCAAACAGGATTACTGCAGGGCAACCAGGTGAGCACCTGCGAGTGCCCCGCCCAGCCCCTGCCAACACCTTCTGTGCTTTTCAAACCCAGCAACATCCTCCTCCCCCTGTGCCTTTGAGAGTGCCCTTGGGAAGAAAAGGGACATTGATCACAGGCGCTGAGGCAGCGGGGCATGAAGGGCTGCCAGGGAACTGGAACACGAGCCTAGCGAGGGAAGGAAGATGGATTTTCTCATCTTCCTTCTGGAAAACCCCAACGATAGAACAACAGCAGGTGGAAAACCACATTGGATCACCTTGAAGAGCAACATGGATCCCAAGATTAATATAAAGAGTACCCCTATCAACCCTAAAAATCATTTTTCTTAATGATGCAGATTCCAACTTGAACTTTCAATTCGATTGTGGTTCCAAACCACATGCAACAAGAGCAACTGTGGGGGAGGCTCCACCTGGTAGCCCTACTTCAATCCCCTCCCTTCACACATCATCTCCCCATTCCTGCAGCACTGAATCCCCAGCACTCACCCCGGTGTTGAGCTTGATGCTGGAGCAGTCCTCAGTAATGAGCGCCCCGCTGTCGTCCGTCATGTCCGTCATGCCACTCAGGCTGCTGGAGTCATCCATGGCCCAGTCGTTGGAGCGCCTCTCGTGCTGGTACTGCAGAGCAGGCAGCTGGATGGCCTGGATATCCATGCTGGAGTCCACGAGCTTCCCAACCCTGTGCCAGGAGGGAAAGCAGGTGATGAAACAGATCCAGGCAGGATACAGCTGTTCTGAGCTAGGGAAACCAAAGCCCAGAGAGCAAAGCCAACGAGTGCCCCGGAGGGCTGTGCTGGCCATCACCAAAGCACACGGGCACTGGTCACCCCTGCACCTACCTGAGGAACACCTCCTCCATGGTGGTGACCGAGGCACCGTAGCTGGCGATGCCCAGCTCCTCCCGCCTCTGCTCCAGCTCCGTGAACAGGGCCTCAAACCTGAGCAGAGAAGGGGGACATCAGACACTGACAGTCGTGGGAGGGGGCACTCAGGGGTAAAGACCCTCTGGGCATCAGTCCTGCAGCTGGCTGGAGTCTTGCATCCACCCCCAGGGTAACCTGTGGCATTGAGCACACCCCCATCCCCCAGGGCAGACTTTGGGCTCCACTGGCTGTTTGTTCTTGCCTCAGCTATCACAGAATTATGGAAACACAAAAGGGTTTGAGTTTGAAATGGACCTTACTGACCATCTCATTCCATCCCCTGCTTCCACTATCCCAGAGTGCTCCAAACCATATCCACTGGCTTTGGACACTGCCAGGGATGCAGGGGCAGCCACAGCTGCTCTGGGCACCCTGTGCCAGGGCCTGCCCACCCTCACAGGGAACAATTCCTCATTCCCAATATCCCATCCAGCCCTGCCCTCTGGCAGTGGGAGCCATTCCCTGGGTCCTGTCCCTCCATCCCTTGTCCCCAGTCCCTCTCCAGCTCTCCTGGAGCCCCTTCAGGCCCTGCCAGGGGCTCTGAGGTGTCCCTGGAGCTTCTCCTCTCCAGGTGAGCACCCCCAGCTCTGCCAGCCTGGCTCCAGAGCAGCGGGGCTCCAGCCCTTGGAGCATCTCTGTGGCCTCCCTGGACTTGCTCCAGGAGCTCCACATCCTCCTGCTGGTGCCTCCAGACTGGGAGGGAGCACTGCAGGAGGGGTCTCATGAGAACAGAGCAGAAGGAGACAATCAGCTCCCCTGATCTCCTGCATCTGTAGATCTGATTCCAGAGCCAGAACATCCTGCCTTGTGTGTGCCACCCTCAGCACTACAGGAGGAACTGAATCCCATTTCCCATGACCAGTGCTGATGCAGGGAGCAGCTCCCCTTTCCAACAAGCCTGTGAGAGTGTGTGAAGAGAAGGGACCCCCCAGGGAGGGGCAGCAGAGGACAATGCCATTACCTGTGGGTGCTCTCCTTGGGCAGGATGAAGGACAGCTCTGCCCCGGCGTTGCTCTCCATGGTGGCGTTGGGCACGTACTGGCAGATGAGGCGGGAGATCTCGCCCAAGTTGCAGTAGGGCTCCTTCACCATCACCATGTGATACCCAGCCCCTGGTGGGAGCCACGAGAGAAGGGAGAGGAGGGTCAATCCCAGCCTGGGCAGGGGGCTGGAACAGAGAGGGATGCACAGGCACCTCTCTGCACCGGACACGGACACGATGCAAGAGCAAATGTGGGGATGGGCCCCAGGAGAGGCTGAAGAGCAGGATGGGGAGCACCAGCCATTAGGCAAGGAGCAATGGATCCCCTCCCTGCTCTCTCTAGCCTCCCTGCTCCTCCCTGGCCAGGAGAACACACGGAGCACAGCCTGCTCTGCCCCCATACCGTATTTGCGCTTGAGGAAGAGTGAGGAGCCGCAGCACTGCAGCTCGCCCTTGGCCATGATGGCTATGCGGTCCCCCAGCAGGTCTGCCTCGTCCATGAAGTGAGTGGTCAGCAGGATGGTCCTGTTGCTCCTCTGCTGCTGCAGGAGATCCCACGTGGCTCTGCGGGAGGCTGGGTCCATCCCCGAGGTCGGCTCATCCAGCATCACCACCTGCACTCAGGAGAGGGGAGCAGGTCAGAAAGGGCTGGGGGAGGCCCAGCAGCACAGGAGGGACAACCTCAGGGCCCAGGAGAAACCTCACAGCAATGATTTTGGGGAGCAGCTGCCAGACAGCAGAGCCTCAGGGCAATACCCTCAGAGTGGGGGTGCTCCTGCCCGCTCCCCGCTGTCCCTGCTTCTCCTACTGGCTCAGGGCAGATGAGGAACAGCCTGGAAGCCACCCCAAGGAGCTGCAGTGGCCCAGGGTGAGGGGGGCCCAGCAAAGGCACCTGCCTTGGAGTCCCCGATGAGGGCGATGCCGATGGACAGCTTGCGCTTCATGCCCCCGGACAGGGCCTTGCTCAGCGAGCGGCGCTTGTCCTCCAGGCCCAGGATCCTCAGGATGTGGGTGATCTCCTCAGGACACTTGGAGGCTGGGTATCCCTTCAGCTGCCAGACAGGGAAGGGAGAGATGAGCCCACCTGTAGGGCTGCCAAACCTCCCCACACTCCCTGCTCCACACCCAGACAGGAAAGTGGGGAAGCAGAGCTGGACTCCTGCCCACCCCTGCAGGAGCTGGCACAGCTGGCAGGGGTGGCTCCATGGAGTTGTGCTGACTGAGACCCTGCACTCCTCCACCAGCCTGCAGATGAGGTGGGAAGAGGATGCAAGGGCTGTTCTGCTTTTCATGGAATCATGGAATAGTTTGGGTTGGAAGGGTCCTTTAAGATCATTTAGGCCAACTGCCCCGCCTTGGGCAGGGACACCTTCCACTATCCCAGGCCGCTCCAGCCCCATCCAACCTGGCCTTGGACACATTCAGGGATCCAGGGGCAGCCACAGCTTCTGTGAGTAACCTGTGCCAGGGCCTCATCACCCTCACGGGGAAGAATTTCTTCTGTATATCCCATTCAACCCTGCCCTCTCTCAGTGTGAAACCATTCCCCATTGTCTTGTCATTCCAGGCCCTTGTCCAAAATCCCTCTCCTGGAACCCCAGGTGCCTCCCCAAGGGCTGTCCCCCTGCTCAGTGCCAGGCTCACCCCTGCATAGAAGTGGAGGTGCTCTTCCACTGTCATGTTGTCAAAGAGGACGTCGTGCTGGGGGCACAGCCCCAGGCTGCGGCGGATCAGCACCATGTCCTGGGAGATCTCATAGCCGTTGATGTAGGCCTGCCCGCCCGTCGGGGAGTGCAGACCTGTGGGGAGCTCAGGGTGACCTGAGGGTCCTGATGAGCATCCCTCCCCCAACAGTTTTCTGCTAAAAACCAGAGCAGGTCTGTCTCGTGCTCAGCCTGGGGGACAGCAGCTTCCTCCTGTTGCAGGGCACCCACAGGGGGGAACTGGCCCCCAGTGCAGACAGGAGAGGAACAGGCAGGTCAAACACGGTTCTGAGCCGTGCAGAGAGCCTGGCAGGGCCAGGGCAGAGTTCCAGGAAGGTCCCGTGAGCCCCCTGAGCTGCCAGGAGCAGCTCAGAGCAATAGAGAACAGAAGGGGACAATCAAAGGTCATCGTGTCCCTTGTGCCAAAATAGGTATCCTGGAGCCCAGCAGATCAAGAGTGACAAACAGCAGATCCACCTTATCTGTGTTACCATGGCAAAGCCTACAGAGAGCAATCCTGGTCAGCAGTCTCTTCTCACAGCTCTCCAGCACAAAACCTGGCTGCCATTTCACCCACTGGCTGATCCCACTCTTGTGGAGGGCTGAGCAGGGACCCCCATGCTCCTTCTGTGCCCCTCTCACTACCCTGGCACTCCTAGCCAATGGCTCAGGAAACTGAAGGTGCTCCAAGGAGATCAAAAACACCTCCCCACCCTCAGAGACAGGGTCTGGCTCTTCTTCAAGGGTAAAGCCATGAGCTCCTGCAGCAGGAGACTCCTACCTGTGAGCATGGACAGAGTGGTGGTCTTCCCAGCACCGTTGTGTCCCAACAGGACAGTGATCTGCCCCTCGTACATGTTCACTGTCAAGTCCTTCACTGCCTCTTTTGTCTTGTTTCCCACTTTGAAGACCTGTGGAGATGAAGTCCATGAGTTGGTGCTGTGCTTCAGGCAAGTGCCTCAGCTCCACCCAGCAGGCAAAGCCTGGGATGCTCACGGGGTGTTACCAGGAGACAACAGGTCTAATTCAGGTTAAATTCAGATGTCAGCAAGTTAAATACAGATGTCACTGCACCTCTAAGTACACAGCACTTCATCCCACCACAAAATGCAGCCAGCTCTGGGGAAGAGCCATGCCCAGCCCCAGGGCAGCACAAGGACACAGAAGCTGCCTGCAGGCAACAGATTTTACAAAACCAACATTATGGTGCGTTTGTGCCCTGCTGGGCAGTCAGTACCTTGGACAGGTGCTTTATTTTGATGCCTGACACGAGGTCAGCTGGCTCCTCCTCAATGTACTGACTCTTCAGGGCTTTCTCAGGGTCCTCCTCCTCCTCCTTCTCTTTCCCCACAACAGTCCTGGGCCGCCCACACCAGTACGAGGGCTGATGGAGGAAGGGAGAGACAGAAATCAGGCACAGGCAGAGCCCATCTCTTCATCCCAGCCATGGCCACCCTCCTCCTCCCACAGACATCTCCCAAGGATCTCCCAGACTGCTCTCCTCGGCCTGGGAATTACCAAGCAGAACACCTTCAGCAGGCAGGGCTGACACGATGGAACAGCTCCTCCTGCCCTCCCCCATCTCTCCCTTACAGCAGCACTGCCTGTGCTTACACAGCAGCTCTTCCCCATCTTCATCTCCATGGAAAAAATTCCACTGAGAAGTAAAATCACTCAGGCAGAATCATCCTGCCCAGGAGAGCCCATGGATGACCGCCCCCTCCAAAACTCCTGAAAAACACTAAATACAGCCTGGGGTCCAGCTGCTGCAGTCACAGCCCCTTTTTTTGACATGGCTCTCTAGGAATGAAACTAAGTGTTTGGGACCTTACATCCTGGTGGGAATAACAATTCAATAACTCCTGGATGCAAAATCAGCTTTTGTCAATGGCTGCATCTCTGTTTCCCCAGTCTGACTGCAAGAGGGAGTGAGATGCTTCGTGAAACCACTCTAGGATGAGGAATTTGGAAGGGAGAAGGAAAAGCCTCTCTATCAAATAACAAAGGACCCATCTCCAGTATCCAAACAGAACACATTCTCCCTGCAGCCATGCAGCTGCAGTGCCCATGCAGCTGCTGAGGGTGATGCCAAGTGTTTGGCTTGGCAGAGTGAGGGGGGCGCAGCTGAGGGGTGACACCCACCCCTGGCACGTGGCAGCTGGCAGTGACACACAGGTCACCCATGCCTGCCTGCATGGCACTGCTCAGGGGTGTCAGATAGCTGCATCTGGCTCCTCCCACCTGCGGTTTCTCTCCAATGCCTTTGCTTGGGCCTGGAGGCATTTAAAAACACCCTGCATGCCAGGAGTGCTGGGAGAGAGCTCTAAAGCCAAGATGACCTTCATCCACAGTAAAAATCAACAGCTGCATCAGCCTTTAGTGAGGACATGCTGCAGGCCCTGTGATTTGGAGGCCAGATGGTGCCACCCTGGGCCATCTGTCTGGCCTAATGCACGGCACAGAAGTGGTGACTGTCCCCAGGGATGCCCCTCCAGCCCAGGGAGGGGTGCAAGCAGTGCTCACCGTGAGGAAGAAGTACCAGGGCTGTGGCACACCGTACTCCCCAGGGAACACAGCCTCCACGTACCAGGCCACCACACCATACAGCACCGAGTCCAGCAGCAGCATCCCCAGCACCTGGGCCAAGGTGAAGTTGTCATCCACGCTGACAGGCTTCATGAGGTCCCTCCACTGGATGCCAGTCCCTGCAAGGCACATGGGACACTGCTCCCTCTGCATCCCCAGGAGGGCCATCTTCTCCAGGACTGGCAGAGAGCAGCCCCTCTGCCAGCTCACTGCTCCCTGACCAGGAGCACCTGCACAGCTCTGTGATCCTCTGCAGGTGGAGGGAAAACAGGCACTGACCCCTCGAGACTCCCCACCCCATCATGATCCTTCCATGGCATTCTCTGCCACTGCCTGGGAAGAAATGATCCCTTCTCCAGCATCACCCCTTCCAATCACTACTGCCACACCTAGTAAATGCATAGCTCTGAATGGAATAAACAAATTTAAATTAAATTTTAAATTAAAGAAATTAATTCTTTTAAATTAAAGAAATTAAGGATATATATTGTGAAGGAGGAAATGCAATGGTTCCCATCCATCAGAACAGAATTCCTCTGGTAATTAAAGTGAGGATGGTCCTTTGCACAGCCCAGGGGCACAGGCACAAGTTCAGAGAGCCCTGGTATGGGAGCAATCAGCTCTAATAAGAAGGAAATTGCTTCTTCTGTCCAATGTCTCTCCACCAAGGCAGTGCCCCCCCACCACAAACGAGGCTGACAGGAAGGGGATGCTCCTCTCCCCAGGAACAGATGGCCCTGCTCACCTTTCCCTTCAAACATGCCGATGAGCTGCGCCCCCATGGCCATGGCCACGTTGGAGATGAGGCAGGAGGCCAGCTTCTGGCTGTGGGACATCAGGTCGTAGCGGGGCGAGATGAAGAAGTAGGGGATGTAGGAGAAGAAGTAGAGGAAGCCACCAGCAGCAGCTGCAACGTTTGCTGCCAGCACAGGGAAAAGCAGGAGGGAGAATGTCAGGGTGATGCCACCCAGCACTGCTCACCAGCTTCCCACCCAGGGACGTTCCAGATTTGTGCACTAAGCACGGTTATGTAGGGGCAGCACAGAGACACACACACATCCCAGCAAGGCAGGAGCCTGACCCCAGCCCCAGCCCCATGGTGGGCAGCTGCAGAAGCCTCTGCCTATCCCAGAGCAGAGTCTGGGGCCAAGCCAGCCAGATGAGGCCCTAAGATAGGAGCTGGTCATACTACCAGGGTATGGTCTGGGTTGGAAGGGGCATTAAAGACCACCTTGTCCCACCCCCTGCCATGGGAAGGGACACCTTCCACTATTCCAAGTTGCTCCAAACTCCATTCAACATGGTCTTGAACAGTGCCAGGGATGGCGCAGCCACAGCTGCTCTGGGCACCCTGTGCCAGGGCCTGCCCACCCTCACAGGGAACAATTCCTCATTCCCAATATCCCATCCAGCCCTGCCCTCTGGCAGTGGGAGCCATTCCCTGGGTCCTGTCCCTCCATCCCTTGTCCCCAGTCCCTCTCCAGCTCTCCTGGAGCCCCTTCAGGCCCTGGCAGGGGCTCTGAGGTGTCCCTGGAGCTTCTCCTCTCCAGGTGAGCACCCCCAGCTCTCCCAGCCTGGCTCCAGAGTAAAGGGGCTCCAATCCTTGGACCTGCTTTGGTTTGGGAAGCAAGAGTGCCCACATCCCTTTCCACATACTGCGCAGAAAATGCAGCCAAAAATGGGAAGAAATGCCCCCTCACAAGTCCCAGTGTCAGTAACAAAAGGAGGCAGCGCAGGGGGACTCACCTCGTGAGAAGAAGGTGCTCACCATGAAGTTGAAGGAGATGGAGGAGATGGAGAAGATGGCGAGGAAGGTGAACACCAGGGTGGGGTCACTGTTGGTGAGCACTGCTCCCTGTTCGCTCACCTGCCAAGAAAATCTTGTGAAGCCCAGAGCTGCTGGAGCCAGCCGTGGTGTCAGCAGCACAGACCTGATGTTCTCCAAGTGCTGGAGACAAACTCAGGTGGGTGAGGACACCCAGAAACTCCCAGACCCCTCCAGAGGGAGGAAATACAGATTGCCCTCGTGTGATGCAGGATCTAAGGAGCAGGGGATACCCTGGCCAACACTCAAAAATCCCCCTCCTGCTTCCCCTGGTGTGGGCACATGCAGAGGGCAGAGCTCGAGGAGCTGCAGAGGCTGTGGGAGCAGGGTGGTCCTGCTCTGCAGGCTGCGTCCCTGGAGCTCCCATCCCCACCTCCCTCTGGGGGAGTGACCCTGCCATGAATGCAGCTGTGGGGCAGCACTGCTCATTTCAGCCCAGGAAACCCAAACTCCAGTCTTTGGAGGAGCCCTGGGACATCAGGACAGTCCCATGGCAGAGTGGCCCTGTCATCCCTGTGCCTTGCCAGCACAGACTTTGTGGCCTGGGGACAGACGCTCACCTTGACACAGAAGAGCACGGTGACGAAGAACACGGACACCAGGAGGAAGAGGAAGAACATGAGGAACCAGGCACTCCAGTGCAACCAGTTGCTGAGGCCCATCATGTGCATGTACTCCTGTGGGAGGTCACAGTGTCACCCACAGCTGCACCCACACTCCCTGGGCACAGCCAGGGCAAGGCACAGGTGGCTTTCCCTCGTGGCACAAGCAAAGAGGAGGTGGCAGCCCCAGGTATCAGCAGAGGGGTCCTGCACAGCCACCACCATGGTGTGGTGTCCCCCATCTCCCCAAACAAGGGCTGCCACCACTGGAGGAGTTCCCAGAGAGCTGAGCTGAGCCCAGACCCAGAGCAGGGTGCCACTGGTGCCACCAGGGCCACCCAGCACAGGGCAGGACAGCCAGTGCCTGGGGGAAGCCAAGCCCTGCTGTTGTAAGCATGTGGCCGAGCTCCAGCTGCCCCCACAGCACACGCACAACGGGTCTCCACATGCAAAAGGCAAAAACCTCCCTTCAAACAGGCTGAACTCTTGAATCCACAAGCTCTGGAAGCCAGGCATGTTGCCCGCTCTCCCAGCCCTGGAGAAACACCATCCCTGTGGTCCAGCACCCCCGGCTGCCCAGCCTCCTCATGGCAGCAGGATTAGCAACATTCTTCCCTGGGGCTCGCTAATCCGCTGCCATCCCCTCATCCTGCTCACTGGCTCTACACCCAGCAGGGATTTTGTTCCTAATCTAAAGGCATCATCCATTGGGGAAAGCTGCAGAGGGAGGGGAGCACATCCCAGCTCTCACCTTCAGCTTCTTCTCCTTCTCGTGGACGACGGCACGGACGATGTTGAGCGAGGTGTAGGTGAAGCTGAGCATGAGCAGCAGGGGCAGCTGGTTCTGGATGGCCAGGAGGAAGAGGTCGTTGACGTAGGCTGGGAAGGGGAAGCGCTGCACCACCACGGTGATGTTCTCCAGCAGGCTGGCAGAGCTGGCACCGCCGTGGTACTGCATGATAGCCCTGTCCACGGCGTGCTGCACCGCCAGGAACCCCTCCCGGAGATAACCTGCACAGCAAGAGCCACACCAGGAACAGACATGGGGCTGGGGCTGGAGGGACAAACAGCCCTTGTGGGAAGGGAACAGGGACTAAAACTGGAGTGCAGAGGAAAAGCAATATAAGCATCACTGACACATGGGGGGTGGGGGAAGGATTGATACCACAGCAAATTCACTGAATCACTGGCTTGGCCTGGAAGGGACCTTAAAGCTTATCTTGTTCTACATCCTGCCACGGGCAGGGTAACCTTCCACTAGACCCAACCAGGATCTTGCATAACCATCATTTAGGAGGAGCTGCCAGGAAAACTCTGTTCATGATTGCTGTCCTGCAAGATGGCTGTGACTTTGTTATGGGGAGATTCTCCGTCACCATCAACCTCCACAAGTCACTGGGCTTGTGTTTCTCCTCTTTTTCTTTGTAAACCAGAAGAATAAGCAGTACTACACAGGCTGCAGTCAGAAGTGTATCCTGTGACTCACACATGTGGTGTTAACTTTTGTGCATTAGAAAACACGGCAAATATTTCAATTTCCCAACAGCATCTCCCAAGTGGGAAGGGACCCACAAGGATCATGAGGCCAACTCCTGTCCCTGCACAGACACCCCTACAATCCCACCCTGGGCATCCCTGGCAGCGCTGGTCAAACACTCCCGGAGCTCTGGCAGCCTCAGGGCCATGCCCATTCCCTGGGGAGCCTGGGCAGTGCCAGCACCCTCTGGGTGAAGAGCTTTTCCCTAACCTGAACCTCTCTTGACACAGCTTTAGATAATAAAATCAACTTTAAATCGTTTATTTTTAAGTGGAATTGCTGCCAAATGTTACCTGAACAGGAACTTAAATTCTCTTACCAAACCCCAAATGAACATTTTGAAAGTCAGTGGGCTAAAATGACCCACAGAGAAGATAACAGTGGAATTATGAGATTGGGAACTTTGTTCGATATTAACTCATGTACTGAGCAAACACTCTGCTTTATTTACACACTGTGAGCAAAACCTGTTTGCCCACTTCCTCGCCCTCACTCTCCCTGGACACTGAAATTGAATACAGAGGGAGAAATCCCACTGAGGGAAATATTTCCTTTGCCACCACAGGAGGAGTTCCCAAAAACCCAGTCCTGAGCCAGCAGCAGCTCCAACAATGTCCCTGCTGGCTCATGCTCTGCCAGTGGTTTGGCTGCCCTTAAACACCGCAAACCATAGAACTGCTCTATTTACTTTTCAAGTACTTAAGCAGTACAATAAACACGGGGCAGTTTGGATAGTGATATAAAATTTCCATTAAAAATTGAAATGGGAAAAAAATTAAATTTTAAAATGATTCATGCACATTAAAATGTATTCTAATCCAACTCTGCTCAGCAGAGGTGCCCAGAGGCCAAGCAGTGCCCATGAAGTCACACAATAAAATTTAAATAAAGGATAGCTATAATATAACAAATATAACAAAATTGTAACTATAGTCCAATGGCATCTAAGCAATGAATAATAATTCAACAAAATAAATACATATTAATATAAATAATAATCAAGTATTTATAATTAATATATAAGTAAATATAAAGAAGCTCTATAGTAAATAATTAATATTTAAATATTAATTTAAAATCGTGTCATTATTTGTTTATATATGCACAAAACTGAATATAAACATCTATAGAAAAGCATAACCATTTAACTATTTATATATTCATAAAGATTTATATGTAAATTTTAACATTTTAATATATATAAATATTTAATTCCTCGTGTAAATAAAATAAATTTATGCCTATAACAAACAAATATTTAATTGTTTGCCTTATACAGATATAAATTTAGTGTTGATATAAATAATAACTCATTATAATTAACTGAATTTAATGATTTTTTTTAAATGCACCTATTTCTTAAAAGTCTCATAGCCTGCCATGTGCAGTAGGAAGGTGACCCCAGGTCCTGGGCCGTGCTCACCTGGCGTGCCCCCATCAGCAAACTTGGCCTCGCGGGGCCCGGGCAGCTGGAAGAGCGGGAAGAGGTAACTGGTGTGCCAGTCCCGGTCCAGGTTGGGGTTCAGCCCCGTCTGCTCGCTCCGCGGGGCGTTCCTGGGGCTGTACTTGAAGCGCAGCTCGTACTCCACCTGCACGGAGGGTTGGGGGTGGGTGGCACAGGCCCAGGTGACACCCAGCTGGGGGAGGCTGTCCCACCTGCCCTGGCTCACCATGGGTGGCACAGGCCCGGGTGACACCCAGCTGGGGGATGCTGTCCTGCCATGCCTGGGTCACCATGGGTGGCACAGACCCGGGTGACACCCAGCTGGGGGAGGCTGTCCCACCTGCCCTGGCTCACCTGGAGGGTGGCACAGGCCCGGGTGACACCCGGCTGGGGGATGCTGTCCTGCCATGCCTGGGTCACCATGGGTGGCACAGACCCGGGTGACACCCAGCTGGGGGATGCTGTCCTGCCATGCCTGGGTCACCATGGGTGGCACAGACCCAGGTGACACCCAGCTGGGGGAGGCTGTCCCACCTGCCCTGGCTCACCTGGAGGGTGGCACAGGCCCGGGTGACACCCGGCTGGGGGAGGCTGTCCCACCTGCCCTGGCTCACCAGTGGGTGGGACAGACCCGGTGACACCCGGCTGGGGGATGCTGTCGCACCGTGCCCTGGCTCACTGGAGGGTGGCACAGACCCGGTGACACCCGGCTGGGGGATGCTGTCCCACCTGCCCTGGCTCACCTGGAGGGGCAGCGGGGCCGAGCTGTGCGGGAAGCGGTGCCGGAACACGATGGCGGCCAGGACGCTGCCCGAGCGGTTGTCCAGCCTGACGTACTCCTCAAAGTCCCGCTCCGAGGGGAAGCCCTGAGCTGTGGGGCAGAAATAGGAGATGCAGGGACAGGGCACAGCAAGGCACCATGCACTGCTGCTCAGCCAGCCCCAGGAGCATCGCTGGGCCCAGGACAGGAGGGATGTGCCGTGCCTGCTGTCAGACACGGGGGAGTTACACAGGATGCTGCCCTCTATCCTGGGCATGCAGACATTCCTCCTCCTTGAGAGCAGGAGTCAGCTTTCCCACAGAAAATTCTAACAGCTTGGAACACCAAGTGCTAAAATTTTCTGTGCCAAAAGATTTCCAAAAATACTCTTTCACAGGGAAGTGCTGCCACCTTCTTTAACTGTTTTAGGGTGATATTTTTCAAGACAGAAACTGCAATAAAATGAGACCAAAAAGCAACCCCAAATCCTGTCATTTTACTGAAAAAAACTCCAAAACCATCAAACTGTAGTCTTGAAGTTCAGAAAAAAATGGTGTTCCAGGAGCATGAGGACTCAGAATCAGTCACAGAAAGGTTTGGGCTGGAAGGGACATGAAAGACCATCCAGTTCCAGGACCCTGCCATGGGCAGGGACACCTGCCACTGGACTAGGCTGCCCGGAGAAAAGACTCACAGCAATTTCTGGGGTGGAAGGAGCAGCCCCAGCCCTGCTCACCTCTGATGTTGATGGGCAGAGCTCTCTCCACCGCCTCGGCGATGCTCCGGACGGCGCTGCTGTTGGAGGGGACATAGGCCAGCTCCCAGGGGTTGCTGGCATGCTGGGAGGAGAAGAAGCTGGGCAGCTCATCCACAGACTGGCTGGGGTAGAGGGTGGCGTTGGGGTGGCTGACGGAGTGCACGCGGTGCCGCAGCGCGATCAGGATGGCGGCGAAGAGCAGCGGCAGGCACACCTCGATCAGCGTCACCAGGATCTGCCTCTTCTGCAGCCCAGGGGAGACACAAACGTGGGGCAAGGATATCAAATACACTATGTACCTGTATGTACACAGACATCCAGACAGTGTGTATCTATACACAGATAACTATAGTACACTCTCTCTCTCTCTCTCTCTCTCTCTCTCTCTCTCTCAAGAGATAAAAATGAAGATGCAAACACAGAAGGTAGATGACACAGTCATGAGGTTCAGGGCATGAGAACACCAAGGAGCAATAGCGTTCTTGCATTCCACAAGGTTTCACAACCTGGGTTTTTCCAGAGGCCAGGAATGACACTGCTGGCTCCCACATCCTTCAGGGCTCTCCAGCCAAGGGATCCCCTACCCTAAGCACTGCTCCAGCTCAAAGCAGCCCCCACCAGAGCCTTCCTCACCACACTGCTGGCCTGAATGACCCAGGCTTGTGCTTTGCTCCTTCCCTGTGCCCTGGGGCTCTGCCGTGCAGCAACACTGCTGGAACCAGTGCAACTTTTCCTGCTGGAGCTGAGGCAGCTGGACGTTGGATGTGCATCCCAGGATGGGGCCCAGCAGAGCCTCTGGCCACAGGACTACAGCATGCCAAGCACACCCATGGGCATACCCAAGCCACTCCTGCACTACACACAGTGGCTCTTTTTTTTTTTTTAATTGAGATTCAAGCAACTGGAGAATGAACTCCAGCGCTGCACTCTGGACCTTCATGCATCAATTCCCCCAGGGCCATCTCTCCTGCACAATGCCTCCTAGCCAGTGACAGCCCCCACCAACACAGGTCCATTAGCATCCAGCCCAGGTCAATCAGCATTTCAAACTGGTGTCCCAGGGGAACTGTGGCCATCGAGCAACCTGGTCTAGTGGGAAGTGTCCCTGCCCATGGCAGGGCAGTGGGATGGATGGTTCCTTCCAATCCAAACCATTCTGGGATTCTGTGGTTTCCTCCTGCAAACCCAGCTGCCTTCACCCCAGGCCAGGCCCAAGAGCAGCACAGCACACTCAGCCTCAGCCTCAGCAGTGACAGCTCAGAGGTGTCCCCAGCCACAGGGGTTCATGGCTGCTCAGAGCATGTGCCTGCAGCAGCAGCATTAACCTTTTCTGAGGCCTCTGGCTAATTTGGGCTTCACAAGACACAGGGATTTTGCACCCTCCCCCTTTGCCAGGCTGGAAAGAGGAGCACCAAGAGCTTAAGTGTCACAACTTTGCTGTCTCAGCAATTGGATTTTATGCAGCAGCTGGTGGGCAGGCTCAGGTGGGCAGAGTCTGCAGTGGGGCAGGTAGGGAGCCCTGAGTGCAGCCTGGGAAGGGACACAGCCCTGCAGGAGCCAGGGTGAACAGGATCTTGGACAGTTTGTCAGGAAATGATAAGGGGATTACTATTACCCTGGCTCTCAGCACCCACTGTCAAAGCCCAAAACACCTCTTGGGGATTCCCCTGGGAGGAAGAGTCTACTCCAGCCACAGCCAGCCCCAGCAGCACAGGCAGGAAGCAGAAGTTTCAGGCAGGCAGAGAAAAAGGAGCTTTCCCAAAGCCACGCTCATAAAAGCAAACGCTGCAGATGTCTGATGGGTTTATAATGCAGCCCTGGCAGCCCAGCTGCCTCCCACTGATTTACTATGGCACTAAACCTCTCCCTGTCTCCTGGGCTGCCTTCAGAACAGCTCTGCCTCCCTGAACTTGCAGGCTCACACACATTCACCAGCTCTGCAGCAGAAGTCATTCAAGTCTCTATTCCAGAGGTGCCAGGGATACTCATCCATAATCACCACAAGCAGCTCTGGAGAGCCACTGTCCTGTCATTGGGCTGGGGGTGACTTGGGAGCTCTGTTTCTTTATCAGGAACAGGACTTTTAGCTGTACCCTGGCACAGCAGACCTGAGTCAGCTTGTGGCCTTGGAAAACACATTGAGATGTATCCCCACCCTGGAGCACACCCAGAAAACAACAATTTTGCTCTGCAGAGGGGATGGGGGATGCTCCTGGCTGCAAATCAGCCCTGCTGCCAGTCCCTTTTGTCCCCTCCAAGGCCAGTTCCCTGTTCTGTGCTGCCAGAAGGCCGAGTGCAGCCAGCACTTCCCTCTTCCTTTGGGTTATTTTTACAGAAACGCTGCGCTGAGCTGCAGACGGGTAACTTAAAGTGTAAAGCCAGGCTGCAGCCATCCCTGCTCCCTCCTCTGCCCCACACTCTGCCAGGGCTGGCTCTGGGTCCCAGTGGAGCCACAGAATCCACCCAGGAACACCTAAAGGGGCTGTGACCTGGGCCAGCAGCAGGCAGGACCTGCCAGCCCTGCGGTCCCCAAATCCCTCAGTGCCACCCAGCTGCCATGGTGGGAGGTGGCTGGCAGTGGGAGCCAGTAGTTTAATATTTTTAAGACCTATAAAAGCTGCTCCTGAGAGGGTAGAAAGCAATGGAGAAAAAGAACCCCAGGGCTCCAGTGGGTTTTGGAGGCACCGGACTTCCAGAGGAGGTTGTGCAATGAGACAGCTCAGAAAACCCCACTGTCACAGGATGGGCGTGGGTTACCCGGTCCCAGGAGAAGGGAGGGCAGGCTGGGGAGCCAGAGACAAGGAAACTGAGGACAGAGCACAGCTCTAAGGTCACACAGCCCAGCACAAAAGACACCACGTGCACAAAAACCCCAGTCTTCCTCCTAGAGATGCCCTGTGTCCACAGGGGAGGTTTCCTGACGAAGCCAGAGGCTGGGCAAGCTCTGATGTGCCCCATTTAGCGGCGCCAGAAGCAGCCCCCGGGTGCAGTGCCAGCCTACCTGCAGGATGTAGTTCTTCCAGAGCAGCAGCCTGAACTGCCTGAGCAGAACCATCCTCCCATCAGAAGGGGCCCAGCGCAGGACCCTGGAGGAGAGAGAGGAGAGAGCCGTGAGTGCCAGCTGCTGGTGGAGCTGGGCACAGGAGGGCAGCATCCCACACCCCACACAGCCCAGGGCACAGGAGGGCAGCATCCCACACCCCACACAGCCCAGGGCACAGGAGGGCAGCATCCCACACCCCACACAGCCCAGGGCACAGGAGGGCAGCATCCCACATCCCACACAGCCCAGGGCAGCTCTCTGCTCCCAGTCTGGAGCAGATAGCTTCACCCCAAAAGTAACCATTGTGCTCCCTCTCCTAAGAGTAAGTGCCCCTGGTTTCTGGCATGGCTGTTCCCAGAAATGGAAGCTGCTGTTTCAATACCCAGCCCTGGGTCCTTTCCTCAAACTGCAGGAGCACAGGGTTACAGAACCACAAACACCAGCCCCAGGAAGGCTGTCAAACTCCTGGCAGCCTATTATTTTGGGATGGGTGGAGATTCCAGGCTGTGCCTCCACCCCCTGCCGTGTGAAGAGTTGGTTCTGCAACACCGGGTGCTTTCCCAGCAGAAACTCTGCTGGGAGAGGCAAGGATGAGAAAAGGGCAAGGGAAGCACAGGGGAAGGTCGGTGCTCGAGAATGATCCCCCGCTGCCTCCTCCCCCTCCCGGGAAGCATCCGCCGTCCCTTCAAGTTGTTTGTGTCTCCATTTGCAGTGGCATTTCCTGACGGAGCACTGCTATCCCACCAGGACACTGGCTGGGATTTTGGGCTTGCAGAGCAGCACGGAGGAGGAAGGGGCAGCCCTGGCACCAGCAGAGGCTCCTGCCCGCACTGCCGGACTCAGGGCAGCCCCCATGGAGCAGTGCCAGCCTCTGAGCATGGCAAACCCTGACAGGATCACAGCGGGCAGGTGTGGGGCCAGCTCTGAGCTGTGCTCCAAAGCCTGGCAGCACTGAAAGTGCCACAGGGACACAGGGGGGGCACAGAACCCACGAGCAATGCCCTGGCAGGCGCCCCACATCACATTCTCCAGCCCTGGTTGGGGTGGTATCAGCTCCCTGGGTGCAGCTGGCACCCAGCAAGCTGAGCAGGGCTTTCAGGGTGTCCCAGTGACAGGAGGGAGGTTGCTGACCCACCCTGCCAACCTCGGCTCCCGGGCTGGTGAGCACACACAGCGAGCACAGCTCTGGTGGCAACAGAGCTGCAGCAACCTGAGACAGGCAGGGCACAGCAACAACACCCACCTGCCCCCTGCCACCAGCTCCTGCAGCTCTCCAGGAGCCTTCTCCTGCCCGGGCACACACCTTCCAGCCCCAACCCTGAACCAGGAGCCTTCTCCTGCCCTGGCACACACCTTCCAGCCCCAACCCTGAACCAGGAGCCTTCTCCTGCCCTGGCACACACCTTCCAGCCCCAACCCTGAACCAGGAGCCTTCTCCTGCCCTGGCACACACCTTCCAGCCCCAACCCTGAACCAGGAGCCTTCTCCTGCCCTGGCACACACCTTCCAGCCCCAACCCTAAACCAGGAGCCTTCTCCTGGCTTTGCAAGCACCTTCCCAGCCCCAACCCTGAACCAGGAGCCTTCTCCTGGCTTTGCAAGCACCTTCCCAGCCCCAACCCTGAACCAGGAGCCTTCTCCTGGCTTTGCAAGCACCTTCCCAGCCTCAATGCTAAACTCAGATGTGTTCTCAGAGCACAAAAACCCCACCAGCTCTTTGCCACTCCATGCACAGAAGACAGATTCCCACAACAGCAGGGACATCTGTGTTCAAGGATCTTTCTCTAGGCAGGAAAAAGCAGAAATCTTACGCTTCAGCCCCAAAAAGTCCACCAGAACCCCACCCAGAGCAGGCAGGAAAGGAATAGCAATGGGGACTTGGCAAAGGCACCTTCAGGTGCCTCCCGAAGTGCCTTGTCTCCAGCTGGCCTCTGGTCCATGTGTGGCCAGGCAGAACATCCATGCTGTGCCCCAGGATCCCTTAGCAGCTCCCCAGGCCCCCACACCCCCACAGCAGCATCTGAAGCGCCCCAAATAAGCCCCCCCAGCCCCAAGCAGAAACCTTTGTTCTGCACCCCCTTGAAGGAGTCCAGAGCAAACCAAGGGAATCCAAGCTGTGGCTCACTTTAAAGGACGAATGCTGCAGGTCAGGCAGGAGCAGCTGCTGATCCCAAACCCTGCTGGCCCCGCCGCACCCTCCAACTGAAGCTGCCCCCCCGGCCGCCCCACGGGCCTTACAGCTGCTGCTGGGAAAATGTCAAGCAGCTCTTGGGTAACACAAACACTATACAAAGACTGAAAACTCCATTACTGCCAATAAATATTTTCCAAGTTTTTAAGTGTTCCAAGAAAACTCGTTCTGGACCTTTCGCTTGCTGGAGACGAGAGGAGGAAGAAGCAAAGTTACAAAAGTTCTTGCTGGATTTGAGAGCAAAAATGGTTTTCCAGGCTCTAGTACCCAAAGCACAAATTTTTTTTTGCAACCCAAGAGAGAAAACCTGTTAACTTGTTTTGGGAGGTGCTGCCTGGATCAGCTCTGAGATGTCCATGATCAGAGGACAGAACAGGGCCTGGGTCCATGTCTGGGCCCATCTTTGGTAGTAAGGGAGGGCTGAGTGCCACAGGTGGATGATGACCTCGGTGCCTTGCTGGGCAGCACATTGGGCTGTGCCAGCCAGAGATGCTCCCACCTGACCTCAAGCACCACAAGATAAGACTGAATTTCCCACCAAGAGGCAGGGCCAAAGATCTGGGAGGTGAGAGAGGTGACCACCACCAGCTTCAGGGAGAGTAACCCAGTTCCTCTCCCTGCTGGGGAGCTCCTCCCTTCCTCCTCCCGGGAGGAAGGGTCTCCTGAATACATGAGTGTGGACACACCCTCACCATCCTCAGGGAGGTCAGTGAGGAAGGAGACACTGCTGCCTGCCCACAGCCTGCATGAGTGGATATGAGACAGCTCCTCACCGTGGGTCCCCACCAGCCCCTGCCGCAGTACCAGGCTGTGCCGGGTAACGTGGTGGCACCAGCTGCCAGCCTGGACCAGAGCCGTTCTGCCAGTGGATTTAGATGAGGACAGGCTGAGCACTGGCAGGGATCAAGGCCACAGCATCCCACCTCCTGACCCACTTCCACCCCGCCTCGCTGCTGGGAGGAGGCTGTGCCCGGCCACCGCCTCAGCGGAAAGGGCCGAGCAAAGGCCACGTGCTCCCGGGAGCCTGCAGTTATTTTAGAGCACACACCGCAGTTCTGCTCTTCTGATGTCCCGTTCCCATAGAAACCAGCCCTGCAAATGGCAGACGTTGCCTTTTTTAATATAAACCCGGTGTTTCTTCCTGCTGGTGTACAGAGACACCGTGTCACCCCTACAAGATGAGCTGCCAGGCGCCCGCACCTCTGCAGCTGTGCCAAGGGTGGTGGCATCACACACCTGGTGAGGGCTGTCAGTGCCTGGGTACTTTCCACACTGTCACTGGAGCAGGAAACTCCTCTCTACTCCCCACAGTGTCTGTGCTGGAAATTATTCAGCCATAGCAGGGCAAGGACTTTTTATGGCCACTGTTTACAGGAAGAGCGAGTGATTTCCGAGGCGGGTGCATCTAGAAAGTCCCAGGTCCTGCAAAGAGCAACCAGGGCCAGCAGCCACCAGACCAGCCATGAGTGTTCAGTAACACACAGCTCTCACTGCTGGGCTGTTTTCACCTTCTCAGTGTTCACAGAGATCTGGGAGTTACAGCAGAGCAACACCATAAAAACCACACCTTGGTTGTGCAAACAGTAATAAAACTTTCTAAGAGGCTGTAAGGCTGGTGGGGTGGTGGGTGCAACAGGGACCAGTGACCTCACAGCCCTCTACGAACCCAACACCAAGTGTCCGACAGAGACGTGAGTCTGGGTTTGACCCAGACAGGAACTTCAGGCCTTGAAATAAAGAAGAAAGCTGGGGCTAGATACTGTTTGCAGAATGAGGGGTTGGCTTGTGCCCAGCTGCTGCCCTGCAATGGGAGTGGGTCGGTGGGCATAGGGAGCCTGATGGGCTCTATGGTTGCATCTGTAACTGCCTTTGTGCTGGGGCAGCAACAGGAGAGAGGGGACAAAACTGCTGCAAGAGCTGGTCATCCCCTTTGCCTTAAAAACAACATCACTGGTTTGCCCAGTGAGTTTGCAGTTGCTCATAAAAAGACAAACTCTACAAACTCACTGGCCTTATGAATTTAGCAAGAACAAGGGGCTGGAGCCCAACACACAGGATTCTCATGGACCCTGGTACAGCCCTGCTCCTGCCCTGCAGTTCTCAGTGGCTGGGCAGGACAGGCCACCTGGGCAGCTGTGAGCAGAGGATAGGGAGATCCCTTCTGCTTCTACTTGGTTTTGAACATTTCCAGGGATGGGGACTCCACCACACTCCTGGGCAGCCTGTTCCAGTGCCTGACCACCCTTTCCATGAAGAAATTTTCCCAATATCCAACCTAAACTTGCCGTGGCACAACCTGAAGCTGCTCTCTCTTGTTCCACCACTTGTTTCCATGGAGCAGAGTCCGACCCCCACCTGGCTGCACCCTCCCATCAGGGAGTGGTGGACTGAGAAGGTCTCTCCTGGACCTCCTTTTCTTCAGGCTGAGCCCCCCCAGCTACTCCCCAATAGACTTGTGCTCCAGACCCTTCCCCAGATCCGTTCCCTTCTCCCGACACGCTCCAGCCCATCAAAGTCTGCCTTGGCATGACTCTCTCATACCGAGCCAGGGCCCGGGGCGCAGAGTGGGCAGTGCCCCCCCCGGTGCCCGCAGCGCCGTGTCCGCTCCCGGCAGAGAGGGGCGGCCCGAGCTCCCCCGGGATGCCGGCGGGTCCGAGCCAGGCGCATCCCCCGAGCGCGGCCGAGCATCCCCGCGCGGCGCCGCCTCCATCCGCCGCAGCCCACGGGGGACGCGACCCTTGCGGGCCCGCGCAGGAGCCACCGCCGGCACGGAGCCCGAGCCGCCCCGGAGCGCGGAGGCGGCAGCGGGAGGAGCCGGCCAAGGGCCCCGGAGCTGCCGCAGCTCCGGGCGGGGCCGCCGAGCGGACAAGAGGCCGCGGCCCCACGCATCTCCCGTCCGGCGCGACCCCCCTGCTACTGCCACCATCACCCCCCGATGCTCATCGCCCCCCGGCGCCCACCACCACCCGTGCTGGTGCCGGCACCCGCACCCATCACCCCCCCGCTCACTCACCGGGCCGGGCGGCTCCGGCTGCGGCTCCGGCTCCGTGCGGCCCCGCCCGCGCCCGCCGCGGGACCGCGGCACTGCGCACGCGCCGGGGGCGGGACCCGAGCGGGGCGGGACCGTGGGAGGGTCAGGAACAGTGTGTGTGTGTGTGTGTGTGTGTGTGTGTGTGTGTGTGTGTGTGTGTGTGTGTGTGTGTGTGTGTGTGTGTGTCACACACACGTCTTAGTGCACACATGTGTGCCACTGTTCACTGTTTGCGGTATTTATGTGTCTGCCCGTGTGTCCTCCGTGCCCGTGTGTGTCATCATGTGTGTGCATGGCACGTGTGTAGTACTCTGAACCTGTCTGTGAGGTGTGTGTGTGCACACATCCCTCTGGGTGTGAACTCTCAGTGTGTGCCCACACCCCGCTGTGCAGTACATGCACCAGTGTGTGTGTGCGCAGGGCATTGTGCACCTGTGTGTGCCCCAGGCATTGCCCGTGTGCCAGCTGGCTGTGGCTGTGTGTGCACCCATGCCAGTGTGAGTGCACACCTGGGCGTTCCACAGCTGTGTGCACATGCACTGGGCATTGCACGTGTGCCAGGTGTGGGACACAAATTCACATGTGCCCACTTAGACACCCGAGTGCGTGCAAGCAGCCGTGTGTGCAGGGCTGTGTCTGTGTAGAGGCTGTGTATGTGTAGGGCTCTGTTAGTGTGTGTGTAGGGCTGTGTGTGTGTAGGGCTCTGTGTGTGTGTAGGGGCTGTGTGTGTGTAGGGCTGTGTGTGTGTGTGTTTGTGTGTGTGTAGGGCTGTGTGTGTGTGTAGAGCTCTGTGTCTGTGTGTGTGTAGGGGCTCTGTGTCTGGGTGTGTGTGTGTCGGGCTGTGTGTGTGTGTGTGTATGTGTGTAGGGGCTCCGTGTGTGTGCAGGGGCCCGCATGTGTCCGTGACAGGAGCTCACGCACTCTGGGGGCAGTGGCTGTGAGCAGCTATGGTGGTTCCGGGTGCGGGGTCAGTCCATCCCTGCATGGGCATGGTCAGTCTGCCGTGTCCGTCTGTCCGCCCACGCCGCTCCCGAGCAGCAGCCCTCCACACGGGCCCTGCCCTGGTGCCCCGGTGTGTGGAAGCAGGTGCCAGCTCCGTGCGTGGGAATGCGGCACCGCCGGGCCACTCCAGGGGGCAGGTGGAGCGCTCCCGATAAGGATCCAAGTGCCGGCGCTGGAGTGTGCCCACAGTGAATGGCTGCCCTGCCCGTCCTGCCCGCTGCCTGCCAGGCTGGCAGGAGAAGGTGCTGCTGGTGCTGAGAGCACCAAAGTGGGGAAAGTTTGCACAGTGTGGGCAGAGGGAGGAGGAAGAGAAGGGTGGGGAAAGGGGACCGCGGTGGGGACAAGGACAGCCATGGCTTGAGGCAGCTCTACTGAACAAGGAACATGGGGTAGCTTGGGTGCTGTTACTGCTAGGGTGACCCAGTGAACACAACCCGCCCCAGGCTATGGCAGGCAGGAAGCAGAGCAGCCCCCAGCCACTGCCTTTTTCCACATGATAAAGAGAAGGAATTCAGACATCAGAACAGGCTGCTGAAAGAAGTGTGGAGTCCCTGGAAGTGCTCAAAAATCATATAGATGTGGCACTTGGGGACATGTTTTAGTGGTGGCCTTGGCAGTGCTGGAGAAATAGGTGGACTTGAGCTTAGAGAGCTTTTTCAACCTAAATGATTCTTTAATTCTATGATTCTATATTTTTTGGGGGGGCTCCATGTAGCTGAATACCACAGTGATGGCTTTGAGTACAACTGCTTTGGAAACCTGTGTTCCTCTCTGATCTTGGGGATTTGTAGCCACTTTCTGGACCCCGGCTAGCCCTTGGGAGAGGAGGAAATGAACTGAGAACCAGGGCAAGGGTGAAGGTGTCTGGGTACGGGAACAGGAATCAGCAGCATTGGTATTAAGATGAGGCCAAACAGAGTGGCACTTGTGACTGCACTGCTGGGGCCCCCTGAGCTGGGAGACCCCACTCTCCACCATGGTGCCTTTGTTCCTGGCCATGGCCAAAGCTGAATTTTGGCTCCCCAGGGCACCTGGAGCATGTCACAGCCATGGGTCTGGTCCCAGATGGGGTGCTTGCAGTTGAAGTTCTGACTGTCTGGCCTGTGCCCTGGGAGAGACCTGGACCCAGTGCCCATCTTCAGAGCTGCAGCTGGGAGCCCTGTTCCTGCCCTCCCCCAGCTGGTTCCACAGACACCAGAGGAACTGAAGCTGTCTCCATGGGTGACTGAGCAGCCACCAGACCACAGCAAAGCTTCCCTGCTCACACTCACGTCCTCAGCAGCACACAGCAAAGCTCATTACGGTGCTCAGAGGTGGAAGGAGCTGCCTGGCTCAGAGTTGTTATCCCTCAGCAGAGCCACACGAGTGTTTTGAGATGATGCAGGCTGGCCAGGAGTGGGGATGGCACGTGCCTTCCCTCCAAGCATGGCCTGGCTGAGAGCTCATCCTCTCCCTGTTTGCTTTCCCTCATCATGTGTCACCCTTGTGCATGGCATCCTGCTGTGGCCACTTTGGTAATGGTGTGGTCTTGCCCAGCATCTTTGTCATCAAGGGGCCACTGGCCCCGTCTCAGGTGAGGCCAGCAGCCAGCTGAGTAGTCACAGCTAACTGTGGGCCTGGAGAGGATCTGGGACAGTCACTGCCTGCAGTGACATGCCGGAGCCTCACGCCAGCCCGGGCTGAGCCACCTGTCCACACCCCTGCTCAAGCCTGGGTTTGATCCTCCCCAATTACAGCTGCCTCAGTTCTCCCCGTGACCTTCCCTGTTGCCTCATGCAGTGCCTCTCACTGCCTGCCTTTGAAGGAAGCTGAGCCATTAGATCAAAACAAAAATCTTGCCAAAGAAATTATTTACAGGCTCCTCATGGCGCCTAGAACAGAAGACAGGAGATGTTGCAATGAGGTGTAGTGGCATTGCAGTGACTCAGCTCACACCCAAGGCTGGGAGTGTGCAGGAGACTCAGCAGGAACATGGGAGAAACCCAGAAAAAGGCAGGATCAGGCAGAGAGGAGGCGGCAGGGACAGCAGGGATTAGGCAGTGGGAAAGCACTTGCCTGGGGGATGTCCCTGTCTGACCTCTCACATGAACCCCTGGAAGGAAGAACCAGCCCCTGTGCCAAACTTGTCAGCCCTGCTCCTGCTGCTGGCACCTGTGTCCCTGAGATCAGGGCTCAAGCTGTTCTCCACCACCTTTCCTTGTTGGCTGTTATCACCCCCATCTCCCATGGTGTTACTCCCAAGGGGCAGCCACAGGGGCCATCCTGTCAGCAGCAGTGGGGACATCCATCCTGCTGTTTCAGACCAGCTGGGTTCAGAAAACCCCAGCCCTGCTCACCCCACACATGGTTTCAGGGTTTAGTCTGTGTTAAAGGTGCTGGCTGGCTCATGAAACCATCTTATCTCTGTCCATCAAGGACCCTCCCTTCCCCATCCAAACAACATCCAAAATGCAGGACAGATAGGGGGGAGGATGTGTGCCAGTGAGTCCCCAGGGCACCCATGCCAGGGTGGGCCTGGCACAGGGTGCTCTGGCCCCTCATCTCTCAGCCACTAGCCAAATGAGATGTTGGGAAGAAGAACTTGCTTAAGTAATTCCTCTTTCAGTTTCTCTGCTATCCCCATGACCCTGCCACCCTGGGCAGTATCCAGGCAAGAGATTCACTACCACTGTCCTTGTGTGACCCCATCTGCACTGCTCCTTGCTCTCCATCCCAGCCTCCTGCTGCTCCCTGTGAGGGAGGAAGGAGTGTGAGCAGGACACACACCCCATGATGCCCAGTGGCACCTTCCTCCAGAGCAGCTGGTGGCTCAGGGACATGCAAGGGCTTCCCTGGACACATCCCAGGAGTTGTGGTGCAGGGACACACACACTGATGTCTGTTGAGAGCATTTTCCATCTTGTTGTCATTTCTTCCCATCCTTAACTTTGCTGTACTGCTGCATGGTGCAGCCCTGAGACTGGAGTGCCATTGCCCAGGAATAAAATGCCAAGATGGTGGTTCCAGTTAAAGAGGGTGAGTGGATCCAACACCTTCTCTTGGTCCCCCCACACTTGCCAAGGACAAGATGTCTTGGGCTTCTTTTCCCCAGGGTGGGGCCCCCATTCCCCTTCACCCCAAGGCATGCCAGCTTGCAGCCCCCCAATCTCGGCTGCCAGGTTGGAGTCTCTTGGTGTATTGCTTTGCCCTTTAAGTGCTGAACAGATGCACAGTGAAACAGACTCCCCTTGGGGTGCTCAGACACAGGAAAATTTCCACGGGCTGGGAAGGATGACACAGGAGGAAGCTTTCCAGAATACCTGCTGCTCTTCCCAATCCCTCTTCTCCTCAAGTGTGATTTCCCTGTCAGTGCTCTGCAGGGAGCTGGCACAGTGTCTACCCACATCAGCCTCCAGCAGTGTCCCCAGGTGTCCCTGTTTCCCTGCTGGGGCTTACAGAGCTCCAGGCCCTTGACAGACCCTGGAGCACCACCAGCACAGAGGAGGCATGGCTGGGAATTTCAGCACCCATTGCTCCTCTGTGCCTGGGTGAGCCTCCCACTGTGGTGGGAGCTGGAGAGGCAGCATGGCCTGGACACATGGGCAGGCTCTGCCTGCACTGCCCAAAGGCAGCCTGCTTGTCCCTTCAGCCCAGAGAGGCAGCTGGTGTCCCCAGGGCCACTTCCCACGGCTGTGCCAACAGCCAAGACCTCTCAAAGCTGCTGGATTGGACCTGGCAATTTGGAGCTGAAAGGGTTCCAAGGCCTCTCCCAGCACTCTAGCATGGCTTCTCAAGAGGCACCACTTTAGGATCCAAGAGGTGTGTAAATGAAAAGGAACAGCCTCGTTTCATTAAGAGGTTGAAGAACTGGCAGCTTTGGGCATTCTGTCAAGCTCAAAGATCTCTGCCAGCACCTAAATCCGGTAAGTCATGTGTTTGGGCTGCTGGCAGCGTGCTGGGAAGCCAAGGGTAAGATAAGGGAGATATAACTGGGCTGGCACCAAGGAAACTCCTGCAGGGGGGAGACAGGGATCTTTCTGTTGCCACCCC